ATATAATAATAATAATAATAATAATAATAATAATAAACATGATTAAAATAATTTATTTTAAAAATTCTGGAAAATTTCTTTACCCCCACTACATAACGATTGCGCAAAGATTCTTCAGACTTTATATTCTTCGGTTGTTGGGTATGAGTAGATAATAGTTTGTACTAAATTTTGATTTGTCAGAATTGAAAATAATCAATGATAGAACCTTTCTTGAAAAATACTACTGTAAATTCAACAAGAAATGGCAATTATTATAGTGGATAATTCTTTAAAAACTGAAGTAAACGAATTAATTAATTGGAAAACCTGGTACATACACTACCTGTGTTCTGTAAAGTATTCGTCGTCGACATATGTTACCAAAATTCGTCAAAGCCTTTTTAACTTTTTAAAATGTTCAAAGAAAAGTAAATTTGATGATAGGAATTGAAAGATCGCTCTTATTTACATTCCTACCTATGATTGCTGGTGTTATAAGAGACATTTTTGTAAGAAAAATTTTTTTGATAATCTACTACATATGACTTGATATCAACCAATAGGAAAAATTCAGCCATATATTGAATCATTAGAGTTATCTTTGAAGATTCGACTGCCCAATCGCTATCGTTATAAAAATGAGTTCCAAGCTATCGAAATCTTTGGGAACAATATTTTGTCAGGATTGTGGTACTTTACTTCTTAACACAGGCGAAGATTTTATTACATGTTCTGCTTGTACGTGTAGACATAATGCTACTGGTGTGTTTACTGAGTCCTGATTTCTTGAGTTTTCTTTGTTTCTAACATTTAATTTATTATCCGAACTTGGGGATCTTAATAAATCAGAATATGAAGATATCGTGATAACAACAAAAAGTAAACCAAAAACATTTCCCTCGAAACTTCGATCTCGTCATTCAAAAGTTCAACAACTTGATAATTATAAAGAAGAGAGTGCTTCGGTCTGTAACCCAATTATTCGAAACATACATTTAGTTAGTCTGTATTGTAATTTTTACACGTTTTTTTATTCAAAAAAGATCAAAGAGAAATGTCCAAAGTGTGGAAATGAAGAAATGAACTATCATACTATGCAACTTCGCTCTGCTGATGAAGGTCAAACTATATTTTATCACTGTATAAAATGCGGGTATGTTGTAATATTGGTTTATAATTTTAACTGATTAATACTATAATATAGAACATTTATTCATTGTCTTAATTTAGGTACAAGTTTTCTATAAACTCCTAATAATATTGAAATAATTCATTATTTAAAGTCTGGTAATTGACACCTATGGTACATTATTCTGAAAACTAGTAAAAATGCCCAAAAACCTCTTAAAATTTATATATAACCCTAAATTCTAATCCCAATGTAAAAAAAATTTAGTTAAATATTTTATATACAAAGCTTGTAAAAAAATTGGTTTTAAAAAAAAAAATCATATACTGTAATATGCATAGGTACGTTTTTATAATAAATGAAACTATTTGTTTTAAAGTACTAAAAAAAACTAACAAAAAATTTTAATATAATATAGTAAATCTATTTTTTTGCATTTAACCAAACTACATGTAATATTATAAAGAGTTTTTATTATTTTCATATATTATAA